TTTGTTTGTTGTTGTTTTGTATCTCTTTTATTATTCATATTGATATTCTTGCTGAAGTACAAACTGTATGAAATAATAAACTACCTTTTGGAATATCTTTTGTTTTACATAAAGTAGCCAATAGGGCAGAGAACCGGTGGTTAAGTTATTTAAAGTTTCACCACCAGTTGCATTCTCCTCCAGCTGCAGGTACTGTTTAGTGAATACTGTCTTTTGGTTGGAGGTGGGTCAATCTTCACTTCTGAAGGGAAGCAGCAACAGTTTGTTCATGAATTCTACCAGAATCGCAAGATTAGTGCAAAAGAGGCACAGAAGCCAGGATACCTCAGCTAAACACTGTCACAGTGCAGCATCAAATTCAAAATGATAATAATTTCAGGGAATAATAATCAATGAATCCAAAGTCAGTAGACAAAGTAAAATGTTAGTAGACAAAGTAAGTTATCTGTAAAGCCTGAAAAAGCATCTCCCCATGAAAACTTAAAAACTACAAAGGGTAAAATTCTTAACTTTTCAGGGGGTAAAAGTGAAAAACATGGAAGCAAAGCTCAAGCAATTAGTCAAAAACCACTCTCATTCCAAATACAACATCAGCACATTTTATTGCAATTTAATATAATTTAACATTTAAAACCATGAATTCACATATGTTCAAGGCTGCTTGCTAAGTCCTTACTTGTGACACAAAAAGATTTTAGGTAAAATTTAGTGTGATCTGAGAAAGTACACATCTGCACAGCTGCTCGTGATACTGAAGAATTAGCCACTTATCAAGGCAGATGTATACTTACAATGAAACTGTTTTTCCCAAATGCACAAAGTAATTTTCATGATCCCTTATTTTGCATTTCTGTTGCCTTCTTACTCTCTGAGATGCTTTCTCTTAGGAGAGACTTCAAGGAAATTTTAATTTGAAGCATCAGTATGTGGCAAACCATCCTTAAGACTTCTCTGTACTACAAGTGTGCTTGTGCGCAGAGAAGTCTGAGGACCAACGAAAGGTTTTGCCACATTCCTTACACTCATAGGGCCTCTCTCCACTGTGAACTCTCCTATGTCTGATGAGGGACGAATAATGAGAAAAGGACCTGCCACATTCTTTACATTTATAAGGCCTCTCTCCACTGTGAATTATCATATGTTGAATGACATTTGAGGACACACTAAAGGCTTTCCCACATTCCTTACATCCATATGGCTTCTCCCCACTGTGAGTTCTCATATGACTATTGAGGGATGAAGACCGAACAAAAGCTTTCCCACATTCCTGACATTCATAGGGCCGCTCTCCACTGTGACTTCTCATATGTGCAATAAGGCCTGAAGACTGAAGAAAGGCTTTCCCACATTCCTGACATTCATATGGCTTCTCTCCACTGTGAGTTCTCATATGACTATTGAGGGATGAAGACTGGACAAAGGATTTCCCACATTCCTGACATTCATAAGGCCTTTCTCCATTGTGACTTCTCATATGTGTTCGAAGGTGAGAGGGATAGCGAAAGGCTTTGCCACATTCTTTACATTCATAGGGTTTCTTTCCAGTAAGAGTCTGCACTGATGTCCTGAGGTAAGGTGGCCAACTGCAGACATCTTCACATCCCTTATCTTGGTAGGTACCATATTCAAAGTGAGAGCTGATATGATGTGTAAGTGATGAATGATCCGTGGAGGATTTAACACACTGAAGATATGATGAAGAATAGGCTTCCATGGGAGTTCTTCTGAGCACGGAAAGATCTACAACCCAGCTGAAGGACTGTCCACATTGATAGTCTTCATTAACTTCACTGACATTCTCTATCACATGCTTGCTGATAAAACAAGCAACAAACAGTTAAATATTATATATTTGTTAGTTTCGACAATACTACACATAGTAAACATGTTATCTTTTTTACCTTGAATTGTTTCACATTTCAGATTAAATAATCTGACAAATTGTTTCGCAATTCAGATTAAATAATCTGACAATCATTATTCTCATTCTATTTCTAAACCGTGGTGATTCCTAATTGTATAAAAGGGAAATATGTTTTAATTATTCAGTATTTCACATACTTATGAACTCACTAAATTTTCAGTGAACTCACTAAAGTTTCAGCAAAATTATCAGTCAAAACCCACCTAACAGTAACAGGTTTGAGATGCGTGCACCATAAGGGTTACAATGCATGCATGTGCTT